ATATATTCCCAGAAGTAGAAATGCTTGGTCATAAGGCAGTTCCATTTTTAATTTTTTGAGGTAACTCCATACTGCTTTCCACAGCAGCTGCAATCAATCTGCATTCCCACCAGAAAAAGGTTCCCTTTTCTCTACACCCTTGCCAGCACTTTTTTGTTGATTTACTGATGATAGCCATTCTGACAGGTGTGACGTCATATCTCACTGTGATTTTAATTTACATTTGTCTGATAATTAGTGACACTGAGAATCTTTTCATGTCTCTTGGCCATCCCTATATCCTCTTTGAAAAAGCGTCTGTTTGGGTCTTTTGCCCATTTTTTAATTGGATTTGTTTGTTTGTTTTTTGGTGTTAAATTTTATAAATTCTTTGTAAATTTTGGTATTAATCCCTTATCAGCTGTATCATTGGCAAGTATGTTCTCCCATTTGTGGGTAGTCCTTTCATTTTGTTGGTAGTTTCCTTAGCGGTGCAAAACCTTTTTAGTTTGATGTAGTCCTGTTTGTTTACTTTTTGTTTCCGTTGCCCGAGATGATGTATCAGAAAAATTGCTATGAGAAATGCCCAAGATTTTACTGTCTATGTTTTCTTATAGGATTTTTATGGTTTCAAGTCTTAAGTCTTTAATCCATTTTGAGTTTAATCTTGTGCATGGTTAAGAAGGTGGTCTAGTTTTTTTGTTTTTTTGCATGTATCTGTCCAATTTTCCCAACACCATTTATTGAATAGACTATCTTTACTCCATTGTATGTTTTTGCCTCCTTTTGTCAAAATTGATTCTCTATTCTGTTCCTTTGATCTATATGTCTGTTTTTATACCAATGCCATGCTATTTTGATTACTATAGTCTGTAGTATAGTTTGATAGCAGGTAGTGTAATTCCTCCAACTTTTTTTCTCAAGATTCCTGTGGCTATTTGAAGTCTTTTGTGGTTCCATATAAATTTTTGGAATATTTGTTCTAGTTCTCTGAAATACATCATTTTCATCTCAAAGGAAATATGTTCAATCTATAGATTGCTTTTGGTAGCATGGACATTTTAATGATGTTAATTCTTCCTATCTATGGACACAGTATATGCTTCCACTTATTTGTATCTTCTTCAATTTCTTTCTACAGTGTACTAGAATTTTCTGAGTATAGGTCTTCTACATCCTTCGTTAAATTTATTCCTAAATTTGTTTGTTTTTGAAGCAATTGTGAAAGGGATTGCTTTCTTAGTTTTCTTTTCTGGTAGTTCATTAATGGTGTATAAAAATACAATTGATCTCTGAATATTTATTTTGTATCCTGTTACTTTACTAAATTCATTTATCAGTTCTAGCAGTTTTTCTGTGTAGTCTTTAGGGTTATACAGTAACCCTAAACACATATACAGTACCACGTCATCAGCGGACAATGAGTTTTACTTTTTCTTTCCAATTTGGATGCCTTTTATTTCTTTTTGTCTGATTGCTGTGGCTAGGACTTCCAGTATTACATTGAATAAGAGTGGTAAAAGCAGACATCCCTGTCTTGTCCCTGATTTTAAGGGAAATGTCTGTAGGTTTTGCCCATTGTTTGCTGGCTATTGCTTGTCATAGGTGGCCTTTATTACATCATGGTATGTTCCCTCTATTCCCATCTTGCTGAATTTTTATCACAAATGGGTCCTGGCTTTTATCAAATGCTTTTTCTGCATCTATTGATATGACGATGTGGGGTTTCTTTATCCTTCATTTTGTTTATGTGGTGTATCTTGTTTATTGATTTGTGGATACTGTACCAACCTTGAATCCCTGGTATAAAGCCCATTTGGTCATAGTGTATGATATTTTTAACATATTACTAGATCTGGCTTACTAATATTTTCTTGAGGATTTTAGCATCTATGTTCATCAGGGGTATTGGCCTAATTTTCTTTCTTTGTAGTGTCTTTATCTGGTTTTGTAATTAGCATAATGCTGGCCTCATAAAATGAGTTTGAGAGTCTTCCCTTCTCTTCAACTTTTTGGAATAGTTTGAGGATAGGTTAGTTCTTCTCTGAATGTTTGGTAAAATTCACCTGTAAAGCCATCTGGTCCAGGACTTTTGTTTGCTGGCAGTTTTATGATTATTGCTTCAATTTTACTAGCTGTAGGATAATCTTTTCAATAACCAGTAGTACTAAACTGGATAGCCATATAAGGAAAAAGTAATACTTGATCTCTGTCTCACATACACAAAAAGGCATTTTCAGGTGGATCGTAGATTTAACCATGTAATCCAGAACTATAAAGCTTTTAGAATATGCAAGAACATTTTCATAATCTTGAAGTAGAGAATGAGCCCTTAAATAAGAAACAAATAGAGATCAATTCTATAAAGAAAATAGAACAATGTGATAGTGATTGGAGGAAGTAGAAACATTCTGGCTGAAAACTGAATGCTACATCAACTACACACACTACTGGAAGGGGTTCCCTAGGGAAGCTGTAAACATCAAAGCCTGGAAGGGGATAAGCCGGGGCTCATTCAATAGTAGAAAGAAGGCTACTCTGCCCACATTACAGTGGAGTAAAAAGGACAGAGGGTGAGTCATGCTGGGCCAGGTCAGTCAGAACGAAGACTTTCGATTCCATTCTTGATGCAATGGGAAAAGCACTGAAGGTTTTTAAGCAAGGGAATGTCACAGTACAATTTACCTTTTTAAAAATAACTTTAGCCCTAGCTGGTGTTGCTCAGTGGATTGAGTGCAGGCCTGTGAACCAAGGGGTTGCTGGTTCGATTCCCAGTGTAGTAGGGCACATGCCTGGATTGCAGGCCAGGTGCCCAGCAAGGGGTGCATGAAATGCAACCACACCTTGGATTCTCTCCTTCTCTAAAAATAAATAAAATCTTAAAAAAAAAAATAACTTAAGACCTATGTAAAGAAAAGACTGTTTGAGGGAAGTGGGAAGGGATGGGAATCAGCAAGAGAGGAAGCGGGAGATGCTCGTTTTTATTAAGAAATCCAGGGAGAGATGAAGGAAGCTGAATCACAGTGGGAGCAATAAAAATGGAGAATTATTCAGCTTTCAGATACATTTTGAGGGTAGTTGAGTGTTTATTTCCTCATTAAACAACTATTTATTGCATGTTGTAATGTATCAGGCACTGTTCTAGGTACTGGGGATACAAGGAGAGATAAGGTCCCTGACCTCAAGGGGCTTATATATTACATATTCCTATAGGGGAAGCAGACATTTAATAGACAAACAAAAATATCCTAGAATGTCAGATAAATGTTATAATGAAAAATTTAAAAGAGTGACAGAGGTGGGGTAATATTTTGGGTAAGTCAGGGAAAGACTTCATATAGGAGGTAACACAGAAGTAAAGATGTAGAGTCAAGCAAAGCCACACAAACTACAAAGAACTCCAGGTAACGTGAAGAGCAAAGCCCATGTGGCTATAGCAGCAGAAGCAAGCAGGAGTGTGGGAGATGAGGTCAAAGAGGTGGCTGAAGGAGAGAGCCCATAAAGCCATGTAGATCACAAATTTTTGAACTTCATTTGAAGTATAATGAAAAGCCATGAGACTTGAGAGCAAGGAAGGAACACAACTCACTTTTCTGAAAGATTGCTCTGCTTTTTTGAACTGTTGAAGGATAGTAACTTGAAAAGGTAATAGTACCTTCAACTAGAGCAGTGCTAGTAGAGGTGTGAAGCAGGATATATTTTGGATATCTTAGTTGAATTGAATAAGATTTGCTGAATTTAATGTAGAATATGAAAATCATGCCAAGGATTTCTACGGTTTTGGCTTAAGCAACTGAAAAGCTGTATATAACATTTACTGGGATGAGGGAAAACAGAGAGGAACAGGGTGCAGCACAGGGATCAAATGTTGTTTTGGGTCTCGAGATGACTATTATTAGTCCTGGGAAAATACTAGGTAGGCTGTAAGAGGTCAAAGCCAGAGATAAATTTTTTTGAGAGTTACTGATGGATGATGGATGGCTGACAATCTTCAAAAACAAAATTTCTTCATATTTGAGAATTTACTGGCTCAATTTCTAGGAGCCACTTAATCAGTTCAAATTTATTCCTCTTATGGGTATACTGCAGTAGCACAACTTACCAGTACAAGTTAATATAAATTTTATTAGAACAAAGTCTTGGTAAATCTAATATATAAAAGAACCGGGAATCAGATCTATTCCTATTATAGCTTCCTTATTTCTCCCTTCTCTTTTATTCTTCACTACCTAGAAGTTTAGTCACCAATGAGTTCACAGAGTTAGCTATTCATTTTGAAAATAGAATTTATTTCTGTAATAAAGAATTAAAATATAGCTGTGAAAGTAGAGAATAATATAAAAAATATTTAAAATGTGCAACAGTAATTTTAGAGTAAAGGTAGTTAAGCATTAGAGTTTGTGCTCAACTTCTACTTGAAAGATCAACCAATATTTTATATTTATATTTTATTAACTACAGTGGGAAAATTATACCAACTTTCAATTTCAATTAATAATTATAATTCAATAATGGGTTTATATACCTGGTCATCAGGCCCTTTTGAAAATCAGTAGAAATCTTGGGGATGTATTTGCTAAAGTTGATTTCACTTAGTAAGCCACAAGGGTTTTGTTTTTTTTTTTTAACTAATTCATCCACTTAACCCAAAATGGAGGCAATATGTACTTAATGGATAAAACCAACTGTTATAGTGAAAGTGGGACATAAGTGTATCTTTCATTATATTGGTATAAAAGCTGGTAAAATCACTTATCTCCAAAGCTTGGTTTCCACCAGGCAGGTCTCAGATTTAGACACTAAACAGAGATGAAGAAATAGCTAACAAATTCTATCCCTTCCCCAAAGTTTTATTTACAATTAAAATATAGGTATTATTTTTATCCAGAACATACAAAAAAATTGGAAAATGTTTGACCAGGATGAAGACAATTCTTCAGGAACTACTGTTTGCAGTTTGCAGATTAGGATAATCTTCTCTAGGAAGAATAATGTCAACATAGCAGTACTATATTCACCAGGAATTCCAAAGCCAATGGATCTATCATGTGGCAGGAAGCCAAACCTTCTGGCTGCTTACAACATCACTCAGCTTCCCTTTAATCTTCAGGAAGTGTCTCTTGAATTCCAATCCATCACCCTGTATTAGGAATAATATCCAAAAATAATGTCAAAAATCTTGGGAGAAGAAATGGCTAAATAAATAATTCTGATTTGATTTCAAGCCCATGACTGTTCCCACCACACTGGGCTCAGAGAGACAACACAAGGGCATCCTGTCTGTCTCAGGCATTGATATTTCTGGACCAAGTCATTATTTTCCATAGGTATTAGAGGTTTGTAAACTAAAAATAAGCTACGCAACTACACTGAAGCCTTGCCAAAATACTGTGACAACAAATCCAGTGATTTAGTTATAACATACATTTTATTACACTAGGATCTTAATAATGTAATTCTATACCAAACACCTGGACAACAGTATTGCAGCACATCTCCAGCATGGAGTGTGACCTCTTCCTCCTCCTCCCGCCTCCTTTAGAGCTAGGTCCCATCTCTCAGGAATCAGTGAAGATGCTATTTTTGTCTTACATGTCAAGGGCTTTAAAACTACATATAACCTCAGCACCAATAATTTCTAAGAAATAACAAAAAATATGAATAAAATTATATATATGAGTATTATGCATAGAATTATTAACAGATAAAGATTCATTAATTATGTGCATTTTTGACAAATCATAATATTTATAAAAAAGATATATAAATTCAGTAAGAAAAATTTGAAATGCTTAAAAATTATTAAGGGTAATTAAGGGCAATTATTTTAAAGGTAAAAATAATTTAGTATTTTTTTTAATTCATTACTTAGTTACATTTTCTACAAAAACCCACAACTTTTACAAAGAAAATGTCATTTGAATAAACTATATTTTAGAAGGATAATGACAGAAACAAACGTTCATAATATTAAATTTAAAAAAAGCAAGTTACCATATATTTATAAATGTCATGTATATATAAATTTGGTACCATTTTAAAATAATCTCCACATAAGAGTATATCCATAGTACATACTATTGGTAGTAGTAAGACTATTATTACTATTGGCAGTAGTAAGACTACTATAATGAAATATATCAAAAATAAATCTGTGTTTTCTCCAGATGATAAGATTAAATTTGATTCTTATTTTTTTCTTTAAACTTTTTTGTATTTTTTAAAAATTTCCACAATGAACATGCACAAACACCTCTTTAAGCAAAACAAAGTTTTTTTTGTTTTTGTTTTTTAAATGTGCTGCTCTACATACCTTAGAAAGCCGGAAGTCAACCAAAATCTTCTCATCCATTTCTACCAAATTCACTTTGAAAATCAGTTTATTATTTCTTCTATCGGTTGTTGATACGGTAACCTAAAGCAATAATAAGGTTAAGCCAGCCGTGGGAATAGAAAATACTCTAAACAAAAATGACATGCTCAGGTCAGTGATGCTACTGAGCTAACACTGAAAAGCACTTCTACAACAGGAGCAGTGCCAATCGACAGGCTCACTCCTTCCAGGGATCTTCTCCTCCCTGCGGCTGTGTGCGCTCCGCTCCGGCCGACAGCGACCCGGACACAGCTCCATAACCAGGGCGTGAGTCCAGGTGAACTCTCAGCCAACAAAATAAAGTAGCCTCTTACCAAAAAACAACGGAAAGAAGCAGCAAATAAAAAGAATAAAATAGAATGAGAACAAAGCAAGGTTATTAAAACATGAGAAAGAAAAAGAGTCCAGATTTGTGCCTGAAGAGCAACCACAGTACTGATAAATGCTACAACATGGATTAACCTTAAAAACATGATGCTAAGTAAAGGCAGACACAAAGGGCCATATATTATATAATTCCATTCAAATGGAATGTCCAGAATAAGCAGTCCATAGACAAAAGTAAATTAGTGGTTGCCAGGGAATGAAGAAGGGAGGAATAAGAAGTAACTGCTAACTGGTGCAGTTTATTTTGGGGGCAATGACATCTTCTGAAATTAAATGGTGATGGTTGCACAATCTTGGGAATATACTAAAAACCAGTGATTTGTATACTTTAAAATGGTTACAGCGATGATTTTCATGTTAGGTGACTTTTATCTCAATAAATCTACCAAAAAAAAAAAAAGAGTGAATTATCTATATAAGTGAGAGAAAAATCAGTGTGGCTTCAGACTTCCGCACAACAGCATTTTCTCTTAATTTTAATTTTTAAAGCTTTCAAATCTACAGAAAAACTGAAAGAACTGTATAACAAATAACTCTGTGCCCTTCATTAACCTCACTGACCTATGTAAGTATGTGTTTACTTGTCTTTTTTTATGTGCTTGGTTTTTTTGGGTTTTTTTAATCTAAATTATAGACAGCACACGCTTCACTTCAATGTTTCTGCTATGAACCGAGACATTTTCTCAAAAACCACAATTTTAGGATCATACCCAAGAAATTTAACACTGATACAAGAACATTAATATAAAACCCATATTCACATTTCCCCAACTGATCCAATAACATTTGTTATAGCTTTTCTTTAAATCCATGGTCTAGTGAAAGATCATACATTGCATTATCAGGACTCTTTAGTCTCCTTTAATACTACAAAATATTCCCCTACTTGTTTTTGATATTATTAAGATTTCTGAAGAGCCTAAGGACAGCAGAATGTCAACGTTACAAATATGCCATAATAATATACACAAAGATTGGAAGTGGGAGCAGAGGACATGGAGGAAGTGTGGGACTGTTAATGCATTCATCCCTCTTGCATAGTAGGGAGTCAATTGTTTTGTTACAATTTAAGTATAGATAGGTTTTAAGAAAATAATGACTTGAGTCTCAATATTTTTAATAACTTAGAGAACTCTTTTAAGAAATATTATTTCTTAAGGTAAAGAACATTTTACTTAAGTTCCTTTAATTTCAATTGTTTCTTTTTCAAACTAATTACTTCAAATTTTTTAAATGTACTGATGATAATTTTTTACTCACATTTTTAAATTTTTCTTCAGGAAAAGATGTAATAAAAATCAATGAAATATACCTGATTCATACAACTCTTCTTCCACTGATAGCCCAATTTCTCACAAGTCTCTTTCAGGCATTGGTAAGATTTGTCTGCATCCAGTTTGGTAAAAAACCGTGTCATTCTTTTGACCAAGCGCTGCCAGGGGTTCTACATGCCAAATAAGGAAAAGCAGAATAAATCTGATATCATCAAAATTAGTGTGAGAATTCTTTTCTGTGATTTAAGATTCTTATACATAAAATAAATAAAGATCTCCTCTAATTATCTTTTCCTTGTCAAAAAAATTGGTATAAATTAAAAGTGTTAATACTTTAGGATTTACACATTTAAAAAAAAAAGACTTTAAGATTAATTAAAAATACATGGCTCCCATTACTTATTTGAAAAACTAAATTCTCTTACCTGTGAGGATCCTGGGGTGCCCAGTAACTGACTATTCAGAAGCATATGATCCGGACATGTGGGCTGGGAAAAACTGATCCCTTGTACCAGTTTATCAATGCATGAGGGGCTGGTGTCCCATAAGGAAAGACCTGTCCGAGGTTCTGGCTGGGAACTGGAGTATCTCACATTTTCTTCACTGAGGCATTAAGATACGGGGAAAAATATATCTTTATTAAATAAAACGTCAGGCCTGTTTCATAACATATTACACATTCTCACACCAATAAAAGTGACGATCATTACTAAGATGAAAGATACACATGTATTACTTTCCATGGGAATATCACCTTCAACAAGTACTTGATCTTTATTAATTAATCTTACCTAGAAGCATTGTTTGCTAGAGAGAAGTCCAAATTGGAGCGAATGTGCTTAGAGAACCCACTAGGAGACTCTGATACACCACCTGAAGTGACTCGGGGCCTCTTGGCCCCTAAAAAAAAATAAATACATAAAATAAATACAAATGCTTTCAAATCTTCTATGAAGAAACTTCTTAATTAACATAACTGGCAACCTGAAGAAGCAGAACTACATCTGAAGTCACTTAACACAAAATACTTATACAACAAATAATGGCTCCTCCACATGATTTTTATGAGAAATGTGGTCATTATGAACTTCTAGGACTCACTTGTCAAATTGCACAAATCCTGATCAGTAAGTACATTCCGAGTGTGGAGTACTAGGCCGTAATTTTAATGGTACCATTTATGGTAACAGAAAAACGTTCTACGAGGACAGAAAGACCTAGCTAAAAAATAAAAACTTCTTAAAATAAAAAATAAAAAATAATATATGATAATGGCAATGAACATTATGAATCTGCTCTATCCAACATTCCTTGCCCCACTGGAAAAGCTTTAACAAGAATAACTGCTATACGGAAAATGATGTCACTATAAATTCATGGTTACTACCCTCAGCTGGATCCTCAATAGTGACAGTCAATGCTATGTTTCTCTAGTCAGTTTCCTCTCCCTCTCTCCACAATGACTGTTTTGTAAAGTTCTACACTCTTGTCCAATTCCCAAACCACCTTCCAGCACCTCATTTTTTAGTGTATGATACCATCTCTCATTTCCCAAAGCCAGTGAAGTCATTAGAAACTCCCTCAGGCTGCACTGCCAAATCTGCTGATTTACTTGCCTTCCTACCCACCCCCTCCTCCCCTCAAATGTTCCTCTCTCTATTTGAACCTTGTTCTGACTCTGCCACGTATCTTGTTCTGATTCATCTGGCTAACTCCCCTTTAGTTTTCAAATCTTAGATTTAATGGAATATCCTCAGGAAGACAAGTTTCTCTGTCACTTGGCTATAGAACCCTTACTTTCGACTTTATAATTAATAAAACTAAAATTATTTTTTATATTTTTCCTGCCATATAATCCATGCTATCTTGTGCTGTTGACTTGTGATAGTGACTTTACAAGTTCTTTCACTGAAAAAAGAAATACTTGTATTTTAAGGATACTACCTTTCTTGAGTGGTTTGTTGTACCATCTGTCTTTTTTGATGTCTGGAATGGTAATCCTTACTGACGGATTCTCAACTAGGATTTTATGCAGCAGAGCTGAAAACAGAACGTTAAGACAACATTTAGAAAAGTCTAAATGCAGATTAAAAAAGCCTATAGTTTGTGATATGGAACACGTTCTCTCTAGGTCTCTTTATGTCTAAATATTATTTGTGGGGAAGAGAAAGAATAAATTATTAAGACTATTAAATTATTGCTTGAATTTCATGCAATTGTTCTTTGCTACTGTCTTGTGTCTTAGAATATTCTGCCCAGATCTGATTCTAAGTTATTTGCAAAAAGTAGTGTAAGAGCCAGGCAGAAACATTTCTCCCCAGGTGACAACATTAAAACAAAGATACAAAAAAACTCTCATCCATCTTCAACACCAAACTTGTTCCAATGTCAAGCCCTCATTCATGCAGTTTGATTAAAAAAAAAAAATTACTTTCTAGTATACTGTTATCTTAATTGTCTTGATAAAGAATTCAAACATCTCCTACCACAAAAATAATTTTCTAATGGACAAAAGGTTTAAATGAAAAAAATGGAGCCATGAAAACACAAATGAAAACACAGGAAATTTTCTTCTCATGTCAAGGTCCTTTCCAAACACGACTATATAGTCAGGAACCACAAAGGACAAAAAAAAATATTCAAATAATTAAAAATATAAACCTTTTTGCTTGTCAAAATAGCATAAACAGCCCTGGCTGGTGTGGCTCAGTGGATTGAGTGCCAGCATTCGAACCAAAGGGTTGCTGGATCCATTCCCAGTCAGGGCACAGGCCTGGGTTGTAGGCCAGGCTCTCAGTAGTGGGCGTGCAAGAAGCAACCACACACTGATGTTTCTCTCCCTCTCTTTCTCCCTCCCTCCCCCTCTCTCTAAAAATAAATAAATAAAATCTTTAAGAAAATAGCATAAACAAAATAAAAATATATGACAAATTGTGAAAAATATTCGTAATAAATGCAAAGATAGGATGTAGGAGAGAGTAAAGAGGGGATAATTGGAGATGGAAGGAGACTTGATCTGGGGTGGTAAACACAATACAATACACAGATGATGTATTACAGAACTGTACATCTGAAACCTATATAGTTCTATTAACCAATGTCACTCCAATAAATTCAATAAAAAATAAATAAGTGCAAAGATCTAATGACAATGCTTTTAAAAAACCTAATAAATACACAGTGGATATAGAACCTCACTGTTACTAAATTTAAAATAAAAACAAAAAACAGTGAATATATTTTTACAGGTCTGTTACTTAAATATTTTTTAATGTAAATTAATGAGATTGTGATGGAATGATATGAACTTTCTGAAAAGCAATTTGGCAAAGTAAACCAGAATAATTAAAACTTCCTACATTCTTGACCCTGCAATTCCACATTTGGGGTTTTATTTTAATTAAATAATTTAAAAGTATGACCAAAGATTAAGTTATATGGATAATCATATCTCTTTCATGACGATGAAAAATTAGGAAAAAATCTGTATCTTTAAAACAGTGAACTGGATGAGTGTAATAAAGACTCTGAAGGAATTCCGTTTAGCAGAATTCCTTCAGTCTTTAAAAACAATGATGTAGGCCTATAATTATAGTTACGGAAAAAGTTCACAAAGCATTAACACAGAAAAAACAAGTTATAAGATACCATGTATATGTAGTGTGATCTCACTTTTTTTATAAAAACACACATACTTATGAATAGTATACATATATAACAAATATATGTACTTAAATGTTTTTATTTAATTTTACAACAAAGTGTAAAAGCACATATCAAAATATTAAAAGAGGCTATTTCTGAGGGATTATAGAACTGTTTTTTGTTCAAATTTTTATTTATTATTATTTCATTTTTTTTCTAGGCGCTTGGTGTCTGTAACCAAATTTATCCCTGAGGCCGACCAGGGCCTCAGGGCCCATGAGCCACAATGTTCCTGTGGCAGCCTGCAGGGCCGGTGCCTGCCATGGCCGGGGCAGGCACCGAATTTGACTTGGCTGCGGTGTTTATTATTTTTAAATTTATCTACAAAAATCATAGATTATTTACATGATCATTTAAAAGTTAAAAAATGTAATAAAAAAGTAATCAAACAGTATTATGCTTCATTATCCAAGAAATCAGTACTTTCAATCAGGATAACGCAGTTACCTAGAGGAGCAGAATCGATTTTTTTCCAAGGGTTGAGGTATATTTTTTTTTCTTTCCAATCAGAATATTCCTGACAACTGTCACTGGGCTGGTCCCACGGCAATTCTAAAAAAGAAACAAGTCCCAGTCTTCTGAGTGTTCATATTACTATGTAGCAAAGGTTCCAAGGAAAAATAATCAACAAGTCCAGTTCCTCCAAGTTAATTCAATATGGTTTTCAAACTAAGAGTACCAATTCAGATATTTTAGAAGCACTGAAAGACGCATGAACCACTTCCTGCCCTACTCTTTCCAAAAGTATTCACATGAATCTTAAAAGCAAGAGCTACTGTGGTATTTCATTTCATTGCTATACATTCCCCATTTTTTAAAACTGTTGGGATTAAAAGTTCCAACCCAGTTATAAAAAATTTACTATTAAAACACTGTCATACAAATATGGGTGCCCTTGGTATCTTTCACTTACTTTGGTATAACAAATCTGTCTTTCCACAGGTCAGGGGTTTTATCATGATTAAATAGCTCTTACCTCCAGCCAACATTGCGGTAAGTACTATTCCACAGGACCAAACATCAACTGGTTCTGCATGAAATTCTTTTCTCTTTAGAAGTTCTGGGGCAACATAAGGTAAAGTACCACACATCTTGTTCAATAAACGCTCACGATTATTATGCCGAAACACTGTTGCCAAGCCAAAGTCAGAGATTTTGAGGTTATCTAAAACAAGGAAAAAGAGATGGCACTGGATAAAAATATTTTGTAATGAGATATACATAAATGAATTAAATTTTATTGGGAAATCACTGGTGTTACCTAAGGTTTATAGAACTATTCTACCTTAAAACAACCGATTTTTAAAAATAAGTAAGACATCATCCTCTAGCTAAGATTAGTAAAAGGACTCATTACTTCTATTCACTTAAGAGAAATATCATCAGCCCTGGCTGGTGTAGCTCAGTGGACTGAGCGCTGGCATGCAAACCAAAGGGCTACCAGTTCGATTCCCAGTCAGGGCACATGTCTGGGTTGCAGGCCAGGTTCCCCAGTAGGGGATAAGAGGTATCCCACACATTGATGTTTCTTTCCCTCTTTCTCCTTCCCTTTCCTTCTCTTTAAAAATAAATAAATAAAATCTTTAAAAAAGAGAGAGAGAGAGAAATATCATCAATACACAAAACGTATTAAAGAAAGACACTGAAGTCCAAAGGGCCTGCCCTTACGGAAAAGGGCACTCCAGGCTTGGGCCGAGCACAGGGCCAAGCTCTTTACTGGGTTGTGCAGCCAGCAGGATGGAGACATCAATAATGTATTAGGCACAACTTTGCCTAAAAGCAGCAAAAAAAAAACAAAACCCTGTTGTCAGGAAGAAAATACAGGGGTAGGCAAAAGTAGGCTTGCGGTTGTTCATATGGAAAAAGACATGCGGGTTAGGATTATGGCAACTGCTTTATTAATGTTAACACTGTGTTTCACATACTCACAACTGTAGGCCTACTTTTGCCCACCCCTGTAGGTAAAGACACAACAAAACTAAAGATCTACAAACCACTAGAACTTCTTGTTAAAGCAGGTAAGTTTAGAAAAGGAGAAGGAGCTCTGTATAAAAAAACAAACCAGAAAAACAAATTTCCACTCTAACTTCCCATCTTCAACACACACAAACTGCAGCCAGAACATTCAATTTAACTTTTCCTTGGTGAATGTCTACCATAACAGAGTGACACTACGCTAGCCAATGTAGTTACAGAAATTACTGGAGAAAACTAACAACAGACAACTGTTGTGAGGGTTATGAAAATACAGAACATTATAGAACCTTATAGCAAAGGAATCTAGTTAAAGGACTTTGGGAAGATTCCCTATTTTTAACCTTTTTAGAGGGCAATCTGTCAAAAGGTGTCAAAATGTGAAATATTCATATACTCTTTGAACTAGCAATTTCTACTTCTAGGACCACATCCAAAGAAATATGTACTCCCACAACCTCACAAACCTAAGGATATTCATAGCAGTATTATTTTTAAATAAATGTCCACCAATAAAGAAGTGATTAAATCTTATCATAAGTATATACAATGTAACTATGTAATTGTTTTTAAAAAGTTATATCTATATGTACTGACAGGAGTTGGTATAAGTGAAGAAAAAGGCAAGCATCGAAAGAAATATTCATTGTGACATGACCCAATTTTTATATTGGGTCTCTGCACAAATTCACAGAACAGTCATCATTGTTCTATTTGTTTTCAAAAGCTACAAAGAACTGTCTCAAAATAGGGGATTATTTAAATACCAATTACATCTGCACAGTATAATATGTAAGCCATTGATGATGTTCACCTGTGTTTGAGTTGGGAGGTAGCTACTATAATTACCTTTTAATATGATACAATCTTAATAAACCACTGAGACTGAGCTCCAAGTTACTTATAAGTAGTAATCACTTAAAATACTAATGGAGGACCACAGTATTCCTTGGATTTTGTTCTTTCATTATACTTGCAACATAATACTCAGGTTAGAGAACTGCATATAATAAATTCTAAATTAAAGAGTGTATTTACTTCTGAGAAAAAGAAAGGGAAATATACCTGTGAAGGAATACACAGGAGGACTTCAATTATATTGGTAATGTTTTCTCTATTTTAAAGATAATTATTATTGAATAGAAACAAAAGAATATTTAAATAATATGCAAGATATGAAGAACAATACAATGAACATCCACTCACCCAACACCCTGTGTAAGAACCTCCTATCTCCTCTGAAATCCCCTTAAATATTTTGCAAAATATATTCTCTTCCTTACTGTCTCAGAAATAACCACTATTTTGAGTTTTATTATGCCCATTCTTGTGATCTTTTCCATGTCTCCATTCCTAAACAATGTATTTGATTTTACATATTTTTGAACTTCATATAAATAGAATCATCATATTTGTATGAATTCTTATGCACCTTTTTTCCCCCAGGGGAGAGCGCGAACGCAGTCGCTCACTACCACAAATTCTGCAGTCGAGTTTCCCACATTTGGGGAAACGGCAGGGGCCAGCACACCCGGAGTGCAATGGGTGAGCCTCGCCCTGGGAAAACCACCTTTGTAATCATGGTATCTCCCCCGCCAGGTGAGTACCGCAACTTTTTTTTTTCCTGTATATCACATTATATTTCATCCATGTAATTAATTGTAGCTGTAAATCATCCATTTCATAATTTATGTGTTCTATTGTTGATAGATATTTGGATTGCTTCCAGTTTTTGCTATTTAAACACAATGCTGTGAAATGTTGCATTTTTTAAGCCAGGTGGGCACATAGATGTTTATATGTATCTCTTTTATACTCACAACCCAAGTAGATACTCTCTTACTCTTACTCTCCCTATTCTATAAATGAAGAAAGTGAGGCAGAGAGAGAAGTTAGGCAACTTACCCTGGGCTGTACACCCTATGAGGCAGCCTAGATTAAACCTCGGTTCAAACGACTCTAAAACTCAAGCTTCTAACACCGTGCTGTTCTGCCTCTCATGTTTAGAGGCATGGAAGCCCTATATTCCAGAGGATTTTATGTAGTTTGAAACTGGCATTTAATCAAAAAAGAATTTAATTTGTAGATGAGGAAGGAGAAGAATTGATTATAATACCATCAAGGCTTTAGGAGTCAGTAAGTAATAGAAAGAAAACTAAAAATAGAAGCAAAGAGAATTCTCCCAGCTTGTGCTTTCATTTCTCAGATTCATCAACAGGACATTCTACAGTTCCTTTTTTCCCATACACCAAATTTTCCTAATATCTAAAATTTTGCTATGTGCCTTATGAAACAACCTGCAGAAGGCTAACCAACCAAAGGAGGCTCTTAGACAGTTAGGTTAGTAAATGAGCTAATAAAAGGATAGCTAAAAGATATTCACCAAAGTATTAACAAAGATATTCACCAAAATAGTAACTGGTGGGTTTCTGATGATTTTTTTACATTTTTCTTTATACTTTTGATCTCATTTTGTCATCACATTTTATTTAAAGATTTTATTTATTTATTTTTAGAGAGAGGGAAAAGGAGAGGGTAAGAAACATCAATGTGTGGTTGTCTCTCATGAGCCCCCTACTGGGGACCTGGCCCACAACCCAGGCACGAGCCTTGACCAGCGACACTGGTTTACAGGTCTGCGCTCACCAGCCTCACCAGCCACACCAGCCACACCAACCAGCACACATTTTTATAAAGAGAAAAACCCCCAATATTTTTAGTTGGGGAACAAAGTTTTCATATTCCAGGTATTTTTACATATTCACGTCTCCATTACTTATATAATCTGGCTTTTCTTAATGTATCCCCTCGTATGAAGGTCAATTAGAGTTAAGGAAGACATTAGACAGAGGCAGCTAAGACAGTCCGCTGTCATTTGTGGGGAACAATACTTCCAGAAACAGTAAACCTCAAGGTTGAGCAAGATCTTAAAAGTACTTTGGACCAACTATCCAAGCAACATTTAAATTCCCTTCACAATGTCCCTTAATAATCAATAATCCAGAGTTTAACTCACATGTTACAAATTCACTATTTTCCAAAGCAACCTATGGATTTTTTGGACAGACTCATTGAAATGGGTCATCCTTGTACTACTGCAAATTGCTTCCGTATAGTTTTCACCCAAGTGTTCTGAAGAACTGTACAGAACAATTAGCAGGTTTCCCCTGCTAACTGTAATTCAATAATTCCTTATTTTACATAATTTCAGCCCTTTCATTGTTCTGGTACTTCAGTGGCCCGCATGCCTTCTACAGTGTTTTCCCAGGATACCCACTATTTCTGGTGTGGCCTCACCTTAGTTTTCTAATGACCAAATTACACTGGTAACTATTATGAACTTTGCTGCCCAGTAATGGTCTTTTGTAATCTGCTCTGCTGCCAAAGATATGCCATTCAACTTTATCTGGTACTTTTTTCAAACCAAATATTGGACTGTAGATTTTTTCCTAATGGTAAACAACTGATTAAATCTGACCCACCTCTCTGGTCTGCTAAATTCATTCATTCAAGAAATATTTTTGAAAGCCTACTATTTGCCAGGCACTATCCTAATGCATTAAATAGAGCATTAAACAAAATAGACAAAAATCACTATCTCATAGAGCTAACATTTCTGTCATCTTTTTTGATTCCGATTCTATGAGCTAACACTTTCACTATCTACCCCTCTCAGTTTCATCCATAAAATATAACTAAACTCCTTGTACCTTTATCCAAGTCACAGATTAAAAAGTATAAGCAGGACAAAGATAAAGCCCAAGCTATTCCAATAAAAACTTTCACTTATTAATTCATTAAAGAGTTGTTTTAGACTATTTACATAGCTGTTCATCTAGTGAGCTGCCCTTGCATCTAGCTCAGATTTCTCTGTCTCATCCCAAACCATGTCATGAAGGACTTGTGAAGTCTCAATATCCCACATGTTGCCCAGACCAAGACTCTTCAGATTGTTTGCCCTGAAATTTCACTAATGCAAAAGCCCTGAAACACCCTTATATGGCTGTGTTAAAATAATTTAGGTAGCAGTGACAAAATGTTTCACTTACCCCTTTCATCCAATAGGAGATTTTCTGGCTTAATATCCCTGTGAGTAATTCCAATACCATGCAGATAAACCTAAGCAGAAAGCAAAGGGAAGCATACCAGAATTTCGTAACTTACTTCACTCATACTAACTTTAAGGAAAAGGAAAAGAGACAACTGTACCTACCACCCCTGCCATGAGTTGGTGGAAGAACCTCTGGGCATCTTGTTCAGGCATGCCTATATCTGGCTCTGTAAGAATAATTATGGAAAAAAAAGAAGAATTAATTAGGAAAGTTAGTTTACCAGGTAAATATAATAAGCAAACAACCACATCGTTTTTTTAATTCTAAGATTAAACACTTGTGATTGTACTTTAGCAAACAACCTTATACCAACAAAAGCCTCTGGAGTTCAGTAAGGCATTTAATACAACTCACATTTCTTACTTAATAACTCACATTTCCCCGTCTGTTACGTGGTAAAGATAATATTACAGGAAAATTACAGAAATAACTATTATCCAAACCAAGAATACAAACCATACCTTGAGAGCCCCTGCTCATCTTGTATTAACCATGATTTATTTGATCTTTTGAATTCTCCCCTAATTTCATCAAAATGTTTTGCCAGTATTTTTCCACTCTTGAAATGTAATTGCCAAAGTGGAAGCTGGGGCAAATATAAGCTAATTTCACCAAATATTAAACAATAAATTTAAACTTCACATAACTTCTCACACTACTAAGTCATGAATGCCTGTGAAGTTTCTTGAGGAAATAAAGTTTAATTAAGAAATCTCCTACTGTCAATTATTTTATTATATCTTGACCTCTTTTATTAACTCATGATTTTTTTTACACTCAACTCTCTCCTGAGATTAAATACTAGAGATTCTAATAATCAATTTTAACTGTTAATAAAATGGACTTAAATAATAAATTTAGATCCAAGGGATAAATTTTATGTACTTCTCAGTGTTCTGTAATATCAAGCCTTTGAGTCTACATAGAACATTTAAGTAGCAGAAACAGAATTTACTTAGTATGTATAACAGCAATTGAAGAAAACTGTAAATTATTTCACTTAAACAAAAACATGAAGAAACATAACAATGTATTATTTTGGATCTGTAAATATATGCAACGTTTTCAAGTAACTAAAGTATCTACAAAAAAATTGTAGACAAAAAATGCATTGCATTTATAATACTTCACCATGAGATTAGTTTATCATTCTTAAAATCTTCAAAACATTACCAACCAAAATCACTTAACACAACTTGCAAAGAACGTCTTCTTGAATGACTTCATGTTTTCATATCTTAAGTTGCAAAAACAATTTATTTCAATTTCTCTGTTGCATAAGCAATTCTGAATGGACAATGACCAAACAGCACCCCCAAGTTTAAAAAACAAATTTAGAAACTTCTTTAGCAGAATAATTATCTTAAATCTTTTCCATACCTATTCGATCAAAAAGTTCTCCCCCGCTACAATACTCCAGAAATAGGTATTGGATAGTGCCTTCTCTCCTGTGACCATAGAATTTCACTACATTCTCATGATTTAACATTTTATTGATACAGATCTCTTTCTTAATATTTTCTGAACAGTCTACGGCACGCTTCATGTCTACAATCTTCACTGCCACTGCTTCTTCCGTTCTTCTATTCACAGCAAGTTGAACCCTACAAAGAAAAAGGAAAAGTTGTAACACTCCAGACACTTGAATTCTATTTATTTTTAAAACCTGAAAAGATTAAACATGACCCATCTAATACTATTTTACCTTTATTAAGTTTCTCCACCAAGGAGAAACCATGGGAATGGTTCCTGCCATGTTCTCCACAAGGAGATACCACTCGTTTTTGAAACGTGAGGGATAATACATAATGCACCAAAGAAGTCATTATGCTGTATAACCAAGTCATTTAACAAACGATGGAGAAAATAAACTAAAATGGGACAACAGCCATTCTAGGCTCCGTCACCTATACACATCCTCTATAATTTAATTTGAATACCACTACCTAACGTTTATTAATCCTGTGGTCACTAACCCTAATCACCCATGCGGTCGGCACCATTATTGCCATCTTACAGCTAAAAAAACAGACGCACACAGGGACATTAAGATGCGTGCCTAAGAACAAAACAACGACCCGCATGTGACAGACTGACGCTGTGGCACCAGACAGTCTGACTCCAGTGTCTGATCACGTGTTCATGGAACCACTACTCCGAAACCCCGAGGGGAATGTGGCAGAAGAAACTGCCTTCGGCGGTCCCTTCCAGCTCTTTACAAAGAAAATGTAAAAGAAAAAAAAAAAAGTCCTTAGGAAAGATTGCACAGCTTCAGTTCCCACAGGTCTTAGATTTCAAATGCAGAGGTCTGTTTTCCGAGGCCCCAGTGTATGAATATGAACAATTTCAGAAGAAGGACTTTGTGCTCAAACCAGACAAGACACGGGCGGGTGCGGGGACACAGGGGTAGGGGGGGAGGTGGAGCGGGGCAGGACCCAGACTCACTCTCCGTAGGCGCCTTCGCCCAGCGTCTGCACTAGGTCCCAGTCTTCCACGAAGGGCACAGCCATGACGCCACGGGGCACCCGGGCTGTAAGGGGCAGGACGCAGAAAAGACGCAGGATGAGTTCGAGCTTCCATCACCTGGGAAGCCGCGGAGCTCCGCGCCTTGCCAGGAGCCCTCAATATAAATAACAGCTCTTGTTTCCCCCGGCACCTCGCCACCCGTATTTCGTCCCAGGGTAAACCGCAAGGCGAGTATCCTAAACTGTGGCACTTTGTCCGGTGCGCGTCCATTCGTGCACACACCGCACGCTCAGAGCCGCTTTTCTAGTCCCCGGAGGGGAAGGCGCAGTGGTGATGAGGGCTGGGGGCCGACGCCTCCTGGGGGATGCGGAGGAGGGCGAGAAGCGAGGCTTTGAGGTCCGAGGGTGAGGGGACGGTAGCTACAACCGCCGCAGCTCCTCCTCTTCACCCCTGCAGCGTCCCCTAGGCCGGGGGGATCCGGGGCGGGGCCAGCCTACCCGGAGAGGCGGAAAGAGGGGACGGGTGGCACACGGACTAGCCCGGGGGTGGCGTTTGCAGTCCCTCTACCACCCAGACCGCAGGAACCCTCTTCTCCGCCCTCTGGATCCGCCCCTCCATGGGAGCCTCTCCAAGACCTGTGCCTGTCGCCATGCCCCCCGCATCCAATGCGGACCCCGAACTCCTCTGCAGACGCCCTTGCCACCCTCCCGCACCTTCCTCACCGGGCGGTCCTCCGCCTGCCACGACAGCAATCCAAATGCAGCGCTTTTCCCGCCAAAACTGGCGGCGTCACACTGCCGCAAACGCAGCGCCCTTGCCGTAAAGCAGGGAGGCGCGCTTTCCAGTTCTTCAGGTTTGGAAGGGTGACCGCCGCAGGCGGTGGGTCCGCCTTGCTCGCACAGGCTTCTGCAGCTGGGCCCGGGCTCCTGTGGCGCCGGGAGGAGGTCCTGGCTGCCAAAAGCATCCCAACGCACCCATGCGAAAGCTCTCTGAGCCCAAAGGCGTTCTCGTCCCCGGCGGCGCCGGAGACCTGAGAGGAGTGCGCGTGGGGCTGCGTTTCCGCCCGGGCGCACCGCCTCTCCGGTACTGGCGCCTCCGCGCAGTTGTCCGGCGACCGGACAGGACTGTGTGGCCCATGGTCACTGTCATCTTCCAGTGCGGCACAGACCAAGCGCCAGCCGAGAAGCAGAGAACTGAGAAGCAGAGCTGGAAGGGGCGAAGGAAAGTGCGGGGAGCCCCAGAGCCCGGTCCCCCGGTAACTGGCTGGGAAGGCAGCGGATGCGGTCTCCCTTAGTTTGAGGTCGTGCAGAGATGACCGGTTTTGCCCCGTGTTTTTTGAACTGGCTCCGGAACAACATCTGAGCCCCACCGTTTTTGAAGAATCTGCATAGTTTAGTCCTGCTTCTCATTCTTATTGCGGAAGAAACAGGCGGGTGGAACGAAAACATTGTTTCGCCTCATTTTACAATGCCAACTATGAAAGTGGAGTAACCAGTTTAAATGAGAAAGTAAATTCTGGGGAAAGGGGCCTGCATTGAGGATAAAATAGGAAAAACTGAAATAGGTATTCTGTCTTGACAGTTAATGACTGGGAACTTGTCATGAAAGCGGAGCCATATGCACTGAGCATAACTAGCCGAGTTGTGTTACTGGTTATAGAGTAAAATAAGTGTAAGTTATGTTGCACAACTAACCATCACCCCAGTACACTTTATTTTTTGAAAATACACCCATCTGTTTTAAAACAAGCCTAGAACACTTCAAAATGCCTATTGGAGAAGTTTTGAATCATGACATCCCAGGTTAGGCTTCTAATAAACGTGTTTTCAGGTCATTTACATGTTCTCCGATTTGTGCGCACTGTGTTGCAAACAAAGGGTATGAAGAAACAAAAAGGAGGACCCGCTTAGTTTCTATGTTTCTGGATGGAATTAAAGTAATCTTAGCCTGGAAAAAGGCATACAAATTTCAGGGAGAATACACAGTTAAAGATAGCACGTAGGAAAATGATGGCACACAACAGCCTCTGTTCCCTTCTCGAACCTTACTAAAATAGAAAGTCTTTAAAAGGCACAAGAATAGAAAATGAAAAACAAGATGTTGCCAAGTGGAAAGTCTTTAGATAAAATAAAGACGAACGTTAAAGCCAGCAATGGGAAAGCAGAACGGCAACTCGATTTACATCAGAGCTTCCAAAAGGCTCAAGTTGAGTTAGTGACACCAAGTAACTGAAATATGGGTGAAGGTGGGGCTGAGAAAAGGGTAGGTTGAAAGACTAGGTAAGAAGCAGACACACTTAGTTCCTTTCCGTCTGTGTACCCAAAGAACTGCCCCACCCCCACCCCAAGCTGGTACAAAACTTGAGAAGGTAAATACATGGTACCCGAGCTGGAGAGCATCAGGCTCAATTAAAGGCTTGGGTGCCAAAGAGATTAAGTTTATGCACTGAAGGCTGAACCTCTAAAGCCTTCTTTTTGCACTTTACTCTTAGAAATCTGGCAGCCTGGCTTCTATCCTCAGAGGGTAAACAATAAACAAGCCTTCTCAAGGGAGTGTTACCTATATAAAAGAAACCTACAAATACCAGTATCAGGAATTTCCCAATGTAAAAACTAAGCCAGATCACAGGCCTGAGGCCCACATTCAATGAGCCAGACCCCTCTCCCCAAACAGACCTTGCAATTAGCTTTTTAGGATCCCACTCTTAAAAAGAGAAGACAACCAAGAACTTGAGAAGGCCTTTAATATGAAAGAAGTCAAAACAAAGGAATATTAAAACAAAAAACCCTCTTGGGATATTAAAAAATGTGATAGCAGAAAACAGGGAAACTATATAGACAAGTTACAAAGATCTTTTTTAAGAAAATCTTCCAGAAGGAAGCGTAAAGATAGAAAACAATTAGAATATTAGAAGATTAATCAATCCCGGAAGTTTGACATCCAAATAGCTTATTTTTTCAGAAAGAAAAGCATAATTGGGAGAAATCCACAGATAACTCAAGGAAATTTCCCAGAACTGAAAAACCTGACTTTCCATACACACTTCAAAGTTTAGGGTACCCAACAATGGATGATCAACTCCAAGATACATCATTGGGAAAATTTCAAAATATTACATACAAAAAGGTCTGGGATGGGAGTGAGAGGGAATGGACACATATACAAAAAAAAATCAGAATAGCATTGCATTTCTCAACACTTAGAAGAGAGAAAATGAGCCAATGCCTTCAAAATAATTCTAAGGAAATTATTCACAACCTAGAACTCTACCAAGCCAACCTTTTGAGTGTGGCATGAGACATGCAGTCTCAAGAATTTTATCTCCCACACACTTTCTCAGGAAGGTAGTCAGAACTGACAAATCAAGAAAGAAGTCAGGGGATTAACATACATAAAATGATAGTGAAAGGAGACACCAACCAAAGAGGTGTGTGGCAAACCTGGAGTAAGCCAAACAAACAGCAAACAGAAGACATCTCTTAAGACATACCTTATGAATCTAAATATATTGAAAGGAGGTTGGCACAAATGAATGAGAGTCTGGGGAGAAATTAGCGACAAGTACAAAAAAAAAGAAAAGAAAAAAGTTACGCAGGGGGAAAAAGCAGTAACAGTATACCACGTGGCCTAGTTGTGAAAAGCTATAAGGTAAAAACTACTGAGCTAACCTAAATCATAACTATAATAGAACCTTAAAATGGTCCATGGGAATAGCAGGATGGTGAAAAAGAGGGCTAAATCTTCAATTTGCACACCAGAAAGTCAAAGGGTGATACCTAAAATTGAAAAAACCAACACAGAGCAAAAAAAGGCAAGTTACTTAATGAGGTGGAGGTAAATGATGTGAGAATTAGCAGAGTTGAAAAAGGTTGCCTCCAGGGATCGGAAAATACTGTCTTGCTTTTTAGAATTGAGGATTTTTTACACTGCATACTGTAACAATGAAAAGTAAATTTTCAAAATGATAGCTTCATACAGCCTAGAAAGTAACAAAATTAAAATTATCAAAGCAACAGCTATAGGGATAAGTTCAAAGGTTATCCCATATATCCTACAGAGGAAGATGATTAATGATTTCTAAATGGTATTATTCATGTTGGTAAGAAGAAATTGAGTGAAAAAAAACCTTAAGAATAACCTCTTCCACTAGGGAGGAATTCTGCATATAAATCAAGTAATGTATTTACATGTAGTAAATCAAACATTACGTCAAATCCAAATCTCAAACACAGCTGAAGCACTCGGTATATAAATTGGTTTGGAAGGTTAAGTTTCCTGGGTTTAGAAGTATACCTGAGTATACCCTCTAGGAGCACCACTTTGCTTTATCTGAAAGCCATGTAATTGCTCTTTTCTTCAACAGGTAACACTAGACAGTTACCCTGTATTTTTTTAAAATGAATTGAGGTTTATATACATCACTAATATGTCTTATGTTATAAAATACAATGTCCTGCTGTACTGAACATAAAGCTGTTTATCCAAATATTACATATCTGAGACTGCTGTGCTTTGAGTTAAATTTTTTACATTTCCCTTCCCCTTTACCGCAGTCAGGCTAGCACTGTTCTCTAGATACTACTACTAACAATTCTTCTAACTTGTAGCTTATTTGGCAAGAACATCAAAACCGTATCACTGAGATTGTTAGTGCTATATAATAACAAATAGGCAGAGACTAAGGGATAAAGAAGCTCACCTTTAAATAAATGCGAGAGTTCTAGTGCATAAACTAAAGGAAATGAGCAGAGACATTAGCTGTATTGTGGATAAGTGAGAATACTAAAGAGCTGGATTTCAAATTGATATGTATGGTTATATTTTAGCTGATTCAAAAATACCTACTGACCAAGTTTTATATATAACATTGGAGGAGTTTCTTCCTCCATTGAGAATAAGAATAATTTCACTGTATGCCTTGAGTCTTCGAAACTGGTGATTTATTCTTATTTGATTTATTCCTGCTAAACAAATAAACAAACATCTCACTAGTCCCAAAGAAAATTATTGAGATCAGATCAGCTAGCCACCCTCTTCCCTTCATAAA